TACTATTTTGACTGCTATTACATTAAATTTATATTACAAAATTTAATACCTAGAAAATATTAAGAGAATGTCAACATCCACATGGGCCTTTTGGTGACATATTTTATACAACAAAATTATTGTTTTGAAAGTTGTGAAAAATATAAATTTCTCTCAAAAGTTAAAAGTTAACTATGAGTATTAAGAAGCAGTCTCAAGTAATTACAGCTTATGAAATGTACTATACAATTCTAGTAAGACCATTTGGGTTATCCTGTCTTCTGATTGGCATAGTCTTCAATAGTAAAACCTTAAAGCCTATAAAAGCAGAACGGATTTTTCTGCTGAGGTTTTTTTTTTTTAGGAAGAAACCAAATGCTCGTTAAAACATCTAAAATTTCAAAAAAATTAAAAGGAAAGATAAATTGAACACTAAAAAAAATTGATAAAAACATTTGAGGAAATGTATTTATTCATTTGTTGGAATGAAAACCTGCAACATGGGATTTTCGTTTTTATTAAGAAAAAATAATATCAAGAAATATTCAGTACTGTTGTCACTCAATATCCAAGAACAATATAAAAAGACAGCTTACTCTTTGTGAAAGAACATTTGTTTTCTAGAAGAACTATTTATGAAAATATCCCTTCAAATCTTGTAGAATTCACTTAGATATTTTTTTTTTTAAATGTAATTATTTTTAAAGGATATAATCCAATAATATTTGCTGGACAAACTTATAATACATTTAATTTATTGGTAACTTTTGCCAATCATCCAACAATGTTTATTAGATTTTGATTTAATGAAAGCTGTAGGCAACACAGAACTTATCATTTTGAAATGATTATCATACCAAAAATGACTCACAATATTGATCTCATTACTTCTGTAACTACAATGTTTTGGCTTATCCATTTTACAGCTTTCTACAAGCGTATAATCCATATGAGAAGAACGAAGTGACCTGCTCAAGTAAGCAACCATTTTCTGGCTGACAAAACTTGAAAGAAAAAGACTGCTATATTTTTCCCCATTCACAATAATCTTGGGGATAGCTACAGAATTAATCATCCCAAATGTTGTGTTGACAACAAAAAGAATGAGATCAATATTTCAAATATGTTTATAAACATATGCCTCAATATCCTTTGCAAGAAAAAATATAATTGAAAAATAGTATATATTTTGGTTTGTTCATTCAATTGGAAATGTGTCATGGTTCTTGTAGAGTTCAATGCACCAGGAAAACAAGTCTTTAAATTAGCATCAGATAAAAATTTAAATTATCTTTATTTAAACTGAAGGAATTTAAAGAGGTTTAGATTTTTAAACACCACTATATCTTATTTACTTCCAGATTCAATGCAAACTTTGTTCTTTCTCAGAGAAATGTAAGTGTCCTTTCTCAAACAATATGCCTTTTTTCCATTGGGCAATGCTTTATGGAAATTCATGGGTCTCAATTTTTAATCAATAAAATGGTGAAGAGAAACTTCAATATCAAAAGAAACAGTTTCAACATGTTTTTAAGATCAGGTTTCTCTTGAAAATGAATATTTCAAAATTGAATATAAGACTGATAAAATAATGAGAACACTTGCTCAGTTAAATATTTCTTGTGTAAATAAATATTTATTTGCCACTTTTACTAAATTTCAAGAACACAAATGCACCAACAATAGTATGTGGGCCTTAAAAAACTTAGTGAAGGTAAAAAAAAAAAAAAAAAAAAAAATCACTTTTTGTTAGGGAATATAAAATTGATAAATGTTTGCTAAGGAAACAAATCAGTATTGTCAATGGCGGATTTGGGCTGAATTCCTTTAATATTCAGTTGAATTGACTAACACTCCTAAATTCAACTTTCTAATTTCTTAATCAATGAATAAATCTGTGCTAGCAATAAAAATCTTATTCAAATTATTCTATTGATTATTCAACACAAATATAAATTTATGATTACTGAATAGCAATAAAAGAGATAAAAAGTCAATTTCTGAATGACAATTTATAAGACAAAGATTCAAGTATACACTGAAATTTTATGTCTAATGACTTTTATGTGTCTCGTAAAATTTTAGGATATGTATTTTAATAAAGAAAAATACTGAAAAGGAAAAAAAATTATATCAAAATAGGTTGTCTCAAAATTTAGACCAATTCAACTTAAATGGTTCAGAAAGACTCATAAAAGATATGAACAAACTTAAAACTTTAAAATAAAAAATTGATCAGTTAAAAAAAAATGTATTACCAGACAAGATTAAATGGACATTTCAAAAAGAGAGAAAGGAAAATTTGTAAAAGGCAAACTTTATTTCAGCCATTAACAAATTGGTGACTTCATCTCTTATTGTTCATTGTTTTAGTAATTCTAAGATATTTTGTTAAAAAAAAAAAATGAACATTATTAGTTGCAAATGATTTTAAAGCTACATATAAAACTAAACAGCGGATACAAATTTTGATAAAAAAAAAAAAAAAGAATTGGTATTTCCAAATAACAAGTCATAATATATTAACATTATATATAATATTTTTAACTCAACAATTTTTAAATTAACCTGTTCTACTTTGTTTTTAATAACTGGATGTGATTCTAATTTATATAAATAAAAATTAAAATGAATAACAAAAAATGTGCCATTTGTAAGCATTGATTTATGAATTTGTTAGAAATTATTCAGCATACTAATACTTAAAGGTCTCAGCTCTCCAAAATCATTCCCACACAATAACAGTTTTAATGATAGATATTCATTTCATTTGGTTATTACACTTTGTACAAAACTTATTAGAAAACAAGCTTAAAAAAAAAAAAAAAAAGAGAGAGAAAGGATGGATTACCACTAAATATACATTTTTTTTTTTCAAGAGCAACTAGACTGAAATAATACTTACACTGAAATAAGGATTTCTAACTCCCAAATACTTGATAGTCAACTGACATTATGCAATTTATATAGATTATTATTTAAGGCCCACATCTTAATTAGCACCAACTCCTTTACAAAAAAAAAAAGAAGAAAAAAAAAGAGGAACAAAAAATACCTAGGTTTGATTTTCCAAAATCTAACTTTATCAGAAGAAAAATCCTGAGACTGCAGACTTAAAAATGAAAGAAACATTTCCTCAATTTAATTAACTGAAACCCATTGATGCCATTTCTGACAATATTTAGAATAATTTATACATAATCAAAAAGCTGTAGTCCTTTCACCCCATTTGTAACATGTATCCAAGCACACAAAAAATAAACATTGCGCATGTGTATGTACACAAAATCTTACAAACTGCTTATAATATTCACTTTTATCGCTCCTCAAAATAACTTTTAGAGAAACAAAATAAAACTGAAATTATCCCTCAAATAATGGAACATTTTCATAATTCAACCTATTATATATATATATATATATATATATATATATAAAATAATCATAACAACAGACCACCCACAATTATAACCAGAGTTGGGAAAAAGTATATTGTTTTTGATCAGATTTCCATGTTTTTAAAAAAGATTTGGATAATACCAGAAATGAATAATATTTAATATATAATTCAAACCAAATGAAAAAAATATTTATGTTAATTTGAGTGTCATTCAAGTATAAGACTGTCCGCGGTGGGCACAAGTGCATGAAAGACTTGCCCATGGTTTAGGGGCTCACTCTGTCTTGCAGAAGTAAACATCTTTACTCAATGAGCCAGGACACCTACTCCTATATGCTAAAAAAGGATCTAGCATAATTTGGATTGGTAGGATTTGTAGAGTCCAACAATGTGTTGAACTAAAATCAAATAAAAATAAAGAATTTTTAGAGATTTCTAAAAATCCAAGTTTTTGTAAGGATTATTTATGACAAAAATTTATTTGCCTCCTTTCAAATTAAATTTTATGAAAGTCAATAATAAAATGAAAGAAGAGAAAATGTTAGGATTTCATCACTGAAATAACCAAAGTGCCACTGCAAAATGAAATTAAATCAGATTTTCAATTAAATCCAAATTCTAAACAAAATTTCATTTTCATGAGGGAATTTAATAACACTTAAGCTTTCAAATTTGAAATCATTATTTTGGGTTTTAAACTAGATTTTTTTAAAATTTTTTTTTTAACTACATAAGGTTCAACCAAAAGTTAATTTAACAGTTGAGGCTTTCTGTAATACCTGTACAAAATGTTGTCCAGAAGCAAATTTGACAGATTTTCATGCAAACAAAAAAAATAATGAAAAAAAAAAAAAAAAAAACACCTAAAATTCTTCAAGTTATGAAATGAAATTTTATCTCAAAATGACTCAGTTTCTTATGTTATTCTTAATGAACAAAACCATATTAATTTTTTTTTTTTATAATGACCAAATGAATTTTTATAAAAATCCCAAATAAATTGTTCTATTATAGCCAAATTCCTTCAAAATATTCCTTCAAAAGTAAAATGTTTATTTACAGTTTGTGATGGAATAATTGAATTAGGACCTCCCACTAAACATCTTCCTTTATGCATGCATGTGTGCACGCACACACACAACTAATGAACATTTTCACCCTCCCTCCTTATTAATGAAAAAAAGAATCATTCCTTATACCTAAGAATAATTTGCACAGAGAAAGACAATGGGTAAAAAACAAGTAGTGCAAACTATTTTCAGTATTGAGAAATAAAGAACAGAGAAATAAGTTTACCTTCCATTGCTTGGGATTAATTCTTGTCACTACCAGAAAAATAAATTACAAAAAAAAATTTTAAAAATGAAAATATCCACACAAGCTGATTAGAATTCCATTTCGTTTTTTGTAGTTGGGTGACAGATTCACTCACATGCATTCATTCACATGTGAAGTTTTCTTTAAGAATAAATTTCAAAGATGAAATCATCAGTCAATGATAAAATAGAATTTCCTCAAATCTTGACTTAAGCTCACAGTCAGAGTGTCTTAATTGTTGGTTCCATTTCTCATTTATAGAGATGGTCCCTTTGATTTATTTATAGAGAATTAATAGTCAGTGTCATTTGGCCAATAGATGGTCAATCTGAAAGAGAAGAGATTACAATGGAGTATATCAAGTATTGATGTAAAGTGATTCAAATGAAACAAAAACATTTTATAGGGAAAATAAAATTAAAAGAACAAGTTGAGGCATAAGAAAACATTTGACAAATAAGTAAAGAAAAATGCCACTATTGGATTTCTTTAATTTTAGATCATCTAATTTTTTAAGGATTTTTATTTTCAGCTTATTGTGAAATTTTTCTTGTTTGTTATTTTACTAGAAGTATAAACTATTTATATCTGTATTTAATCAGTAGTAAAAACTTCTAGGATCTAATAGTGTTAGACTAAATGATATCAACATTTTAATGTAAGGGTTAACTTTTAATAAATAGAAATCCTTAAGCAACAATATATTTACACTGGTAATAGAAGTCAGTCAAAGAGAAAATAATAGTCCACATTATATAATCATTTTAAAGTGGTATTGAATTTCACTTATTGAATTTTGATTCTCTAAAAGTCACGATATGGTACCTACAAAGGTGTGTTTTATTAAAACAGGAAAAGCATCAATTTTTAGGTTTAACTTGAACAAAAGATTCCCCTTCCAAATGTTTACTTGATAAATGAAAAATTTGACTTGCCCTCCAACTCAAGTGAATAACAGTTGTACACGCATACCTGATCTTTGTACATTTTCTTGATATCTTGAAGATCCATTCGCATTTCTTCTGCCTCTTCAACTTTCTCACCATACATTTGTAATAAGGCATTGTAGCGTTGAAATAAATCCTGTTTGGAAAAAAAAGGAGTTTAACAAAAGGAAAAACTCATTTCCTATTAAAAAAATATAATTGAACCATCATTTTTGCACATTTTTTTGGTAATTACTAATTAAATTAATTATCAAAAAAAAAAATAAGAAAAAAAAAAGAGGCCACACAATCAACTAAAATAATTTTGTTATTTCTAGTTGTATTAAACTAAGCATATTTATGCTTGAACCATTAACTAAATTACAGTAGTGGTAACATCATCACTACTGAACCTGTGCAGTGAATTTAGTAAAAAGAAAATGGTGTGGTCACTTCTACAACAAAGGAAAATCAGCATTTGATAGATGTCTAAAAAAAGTCACCAAATGTTTGATATGTTTTAGCAAAGGTTTTGTTTACAGCTTTATATTTTTAAAACTTTTATTAAAATATAAAGTTAAGTATTATTTTTCACATAACAATATGTATACTCTTATACAATTGATACTGAATGGCACAAATAGGTTTTTGAGATATGCTACATGAATAGACACAAAGATATTTTTCTAATTCATAGTTTACTGATATTTCTATAATCTTAGTTTCCAAAGAGATGATTATTGCATTGATAACAAGCAACTACCAATCATCCCTTAACTAAAATATCATCTCTATTCAAGTTTTCTTGAACCTGCCTGGAATAATAGATAAGAGCCCTGATCATTGCCTGTAAAAATGGATCCATTCCTATTCAAGATGTTACACTTACTGAGTGTTTTTCTTTAATTTCTGGAAGTTCTTTCACCTGTTCTTGGAGATCTTCATTTAAGTTAGACAAATTTACAAGTTCTCGAGCCATAGATTCCCTTGTTTTTTCTAATTGACTAATGTCTTCCTGAAAGAAGAAAAAATACTTTAAGCTGTCTGAATCAAAATGATAAAGTAGAAAATCTGCAACAATGCAATTAAGGTTAGAAAAAAAAAAAATTTCAAAAGATGTCAAGCAAAAATGATTTACCTGCAATTGGTTAATTTCTCCCTCTTTCTGTTTTAACTGAGACTGCAGACTTTCCAGGAGACTAGCTGCACCACCCTGACGCAGACTTTCATACAGACTTGACTTGTTCCCATTGGATGTTGAAGCAACAGCGGCTATCAGCAAACTTTTCTCTAAGAGATCATCCTAATAACACAAAAAAAGTATTCCCATGAAATTTGGACATTTCCTTGATGTTCATCAGCTGGAGGAAAAAACTAAAAAAAAAGTGTTGGTGATAACTTCTTAAAAGAAGGACTAAAAGAAAAATATTGACTACAATTAAAGTTCATTAACTTAAAATAACCAAGAAAATATTTTCACCAGTGAATCACTGAAGAAGTATTCTAAAAAGTGTAGTAAGGACTGAAAATAAGTAGTCACAAGAATTTGACAAATGGAAAAGTCTTTAATAGAATCAATAGGAACAAAATGACATACAGGGGGAAGAAAAGTATTCAACAAATTCCACAAAAATCAGCTGACTGCATTATGTAGCAATACAGCTTATCACATTATGTACCAACACATTGTAAGTAATAGTAATGGCTGGCTACTCATTTCCAAGTATGCTCATCTGCTAATGTGGCTAGGTAATTCCTGTTGCAGATGCCTGCTCAGGCACATTCGTGTTTCTCCAAAACACAGAGATCTAGTCTGTAGTTTATATTGCAACTATGCAGAGTGGTCCTTAGTTACAGTTTCTGGTTGGTTGTTGGATTTAACAGCATGTCAACTCCTATTTGACAGTTTCTGGTGTGATAAGTATTTAACTCAAAACTGCACCACATGTTTTATCTGTACAAGAAGCAAAAAATTCAATAAATACATTCATATATTATAAAAGATATATTTAAAAAAGGTGATGCAAAAAAGTATTCAATATGCAACACAAAATAGAATCAAATAGATATTACTTTGTGGAACAAACTTTCTTCTCAACATCAATCTTCAGTAACCATTAGCTTTGAATATTCTTCTTGTGATTTTTTGGTCCAGTATTCATGGTATATCTTTAGTTCATTCAACTTACTAGGCTGATAAGCTTGGAACCAAATTTTCAATCAGGTTCAGGTCAACAGACTGACTGGGTTACTTGTTTGTTTTGATTGTTTTACAGCATATCAAGCCATTGTGTCATTTAATGGTGAAATTTCATATTTTTTTTCTAATTAAAATCTTGTATTTAAACAGTCAATTTTTTTAACTAGTAAGACTGCTGTTAGTTATAGTTATATTTTTTAAATTATATTTTTGAGATTAGTTTAATTTCTCTTAGAAACTGGAATATGTAAAGTGGACCAGTATTTTGAAAAAGTTCTTCTAAGTTTGTTGTTTGGTTTAAGCAGATTGAATTAACATTGCCAGTTTGTCAGTATGTTTTATGGTGAATAGTTCTTGGCATGCTACACATACTGGAGATTCTTTTATTTTTTTTTAGGATATATCAATTGGTTATGGTAATATGTCCAATATGGAATCACTTCTCTTCTAGTTTGGTGTTTCTGATGCCATTCTTCTACAGTTGGTTTAATTTTGTACAGTTTATTGTTTGGGCAGGAGTTCCATATGTTCTACTACTCTTCCCTAATATATTTATTGATTGTTGGTTTCAGATCTGCATATGGGATTTTGTTAAGGGGGCCCTAATTGTATTAATCTTTTCATCAGGTATCATATTTGTGATTATTTTCTTACATGTTAATTTTTGTGATTTCTGTCTAACTTTTTTCTTTCATATATTCTTCCACAATCTTACATGTTTTTCGTATGTTTACATTTCTTCCTCTTTTCTCCAAATCTTACATACTCTTGCATATGCAGGGTGTTCTTAACCACAGTTTACACATTTACATATATCTCTGCATTCATTTGTGGTTTGATCTGGGTCCTATTGCCCATATCAAAGACAAACTAGTATCCATCTTCATGATGTCCAAATGTCTGACAGTTGTAACAACAGAGAGGGTTTGGGATGAAGACTTCAGTTTTTTCTAAGTTATGTCCTATTTTTATCTCTTTAGGGATAGTTGGTACATTGAATGTCAGGATGCAAATATTGGTCTGGATGTTTTCATTATTCTTTTTAATTGTCACTCTTCTAACATCTGTGACTCCCTTCTTTTTCAGTTCATTCTTTATCTCTTCAATAATACACAGGGAAAGTTCCTTACTTTGTACCACACCTTGTAAGGTGTTCAATTTTTCCTGAAGAATTTTTACTTTAGAGGATATGATTTTTACAATAAGAAAAGGAGATAATTTCATGAGTGTTGTTTCATCTCATGATTCCAAGATTATAAATCTTGGAAATGATCCCCTCTCTTCATTCTCAGAATCAGTGTCCATGTGAGGTTTCTTAGTGGGTTTCTTTTTATCCATCATAAAAAGATTATTTCACTGATCCTGATCCCCACCCACCACAAGAGTCCAATTTAATGGAAAATACCAAGGGGGAAACCCATTTGCCTTGGTAAGACAGGGCTACAGCAACAGTATACTCATATTTGATGGAAGGCCATGAGTCCTTGATCTCCCTTTAGTTTTGCTACCCAAGAACTAGTGAAATGTCTGGAGTATCTAAGATGCATCATCGTTCTTTCCTTCCAAACTAATCGACTCTACAGCCACCACCTTTTAATTCAAATATATATCCACTTTTGAGGTGTTTTTGAATGATGACCAAATTTTCATCCTTCCATTTTGGTTACTTTAAATCAAGGCTTGACATGACTAGCCAATTGATCAGATTGGGCCTCATCGACTGTCTGTCTAGGCCCAAAGTGGTGTGTTGGGTATCAGAAGTATCTAAACTCGACTTCTGAAGCCCTCATCTACCAGGCAAACAGGTGGCTTCATGGTTTTGGTACCCCACTGCAGAGGTGCAGTTAGCATATTCTGAATCATAGGCTGACAGTGTAGGACTGGGCTACTTTAAATAATTGATTTTCTCATTTTCAAGCCACCACTTGGTTGCATTGTTTAGGATTGTTGTCTTATTGAAATGCCCAAATGAACTTCACTTTTAAAGCCTTGATTGGAGTAAGGAGGTTATTGTTCAATGTATTTCATGCATTCTTCCTTTCATTATGTGAAGTCATATTGTAAGAATGTGATTAAAAACAGCTTCAAACCATTGCTACCTCCATACTTCTGAATTGAGATGATGTTCTCTGGCTTGGATTCTTCATTCTTCCTCCTCTAAACTTGACAATGTTAATTGAAGTCAAATAATTATCTTAATCTCAACAGACTAAAGAATATTATTCAAACATCAAAATTCTCCTCCACAAACTTCAGGTGCACCACTCTATCCAATTCCTTCACAAGTAGAACTTTTCAGGCTCTACAGTATCACACACTATGTTGACAACAGATCAAGGTATAACTGTTGTCTTTGATGGTCATAATCTTCTACCAACACTTTGTGAGTAATTGTTGGTTGCTTCTTTACAATATTTACAACCTGGCTTGCCACACTGCTTGGAAATTTTTTGATAGGTATCAAATTGAGTACCATTTACTGTTGAGCCATGTTCTTTTCACTTGTGAACTATCGAAACAGTGATGTACAGATTAAGTTGAAGCTGTTTATTAATAACTCTGTAACCTTTGGAATAAAACCTAGAGAATCTCTGAGGTCTGTAAAATGCTCCTTCATTTTCAGCATTATGATTGCTACTATAATGATGGTCAGCAGTCAACTGATACACTATACCACCATCCCAAGAATGTTCACTACTACTTAGAATGTTCTAGGATAGCCTACAGAACTAATCACATAGAAATTTACATTCTTCAGTAATATTAGTTTACTCCTCTTATGAAGATATTTTTGCTTCATTATAAATATATTTGTAAAATTTTTTGCTTTTATGTCTCAAATCCACATTATGCATAAAAAGCATTCAATAAATAATTTCCTTTTGCTTTAAACCCGTCACAAAATAATATTTTCTGGCATTCTTTCAAGCCATTTCCATAGAACAATGCCAATCTGATATTGTCTAATCTATAATGTTCTATATATTCCTCGTCAGTTCTTATGAGATCTTACCTGAGATAATGCACTGATTGACAAAGGGGATGATCTTAGAGTAAGGTTGTCAGTAGGGATGCCAGGACTACCACGGTGAGAGGAAATTGGTGATGGACTCCCCCGAGAATAAAAACTTTTTTCCTGAAAACAATACACATACAAAATATTCAATAGATTAATAAAAAAAACAAAGAAAGATAGTTTCTTTTTTATTATTTGCCTTGATTTTTATATATTAACATTAATTTTAAAGGGCTTCTGGTCTAATGTTAAAATGTATGTATTTATGCACTGTCAAGTCATTGAAAAATTTGTATATCTCCTAATTTCAAATAAATGGTTATTTCTTAAACTTGAAATTTAATATGTAAGTAAAAAATAATCACTGTTCTGATGTAAATTTAAAAAATATGACATGAACATAAAAAGTAGATATAAAAACTGTCAACAACCACATTAATTTGTAATTTTATTTTCTTAAGGAAAATAAGAATAAAAACTTAAACGTTTGTGTTTAAAAAGGTGTGTGCATGTAATCAATACACCTAATCAAAAGACAATATAAAAGATTCTGAAAGCATGTTTGAATTGAAGACTTGATGAAAGCAGGAAAACAATCTTTAGAACCCAATTATTTTTCATAATCAGTATAATGTTGAAAAAGGGATATTTTATAGCAATGGACTTAATGCCATAAAATCACTGATCTCTAAATTACTGCCAATAGTTCAAACCTAACATGTCACAAGGTTTCGTTTCTTTGATATTGTCATATTACTCTTTTGTTCTGAAACAACATACTGAATTGGAAAAAATCCAAATTCATTCATTTATAAAACTAATTTTCTTTTTTGGATCTCAAAATTCTGAGAAATATATATGATCCGTGTGAAGGTTTGTTAAATATAATAAACAGGTTTGTCAAGTGAAACAAAAGATGATTGTTAAAATGATTATAGATACATATAAATGTAAAAAAAATAGAAAATTGAAAGCGACTGAAAAGTATAATAGATACCATTTCTTTCATTTGCTCAAGTGATTGGATCAGTTTCTTCTTTTCTGTGTCCACTTTGGTCTTCTCAATTTCCAGCTGAGTTTCAAGATAAACCTTTGCAAAATACAATGGAACAGAATGAACAAAAAAAAAAAAAAAAAAAAAAAAAAAAAAACTACAAATGCATCCAGTAAAGAGAAATTTGAAAATTAAGATATAAAGACCAGTATGCAGAAATTATAATCTTATCTAAAATATCAAAATTTAGGCAACATGTATGCATTGTTTCTTACAATTGTGTGCATTGAATAAATATCAACCCTACTAAAATGGTTGCTAACAAAAAATTAAAAAAAGAAAATAAGGTTTATCTGTTGGTTTAAGAAAGGCTACTTTTCTATTTTATGTTACATTTTATAATTTGAACAACAAAAAAAAACTGTCATTCAATGCATGTGAAGATTGCATAGTTCTATTAATTTTTTTTCAATTGAAAATCTTGCTGATCATAAGTGAATGGTCAAAGTAAAATCAATATAAACACAAATGAATATGACAATGGTAAATAAAGCAGTTACTATCAAAACATGAAAAATGGACAAGTGTAAACCATGACATTAACTCCTTCAAAAGCCAGTTTAATATCTAGATTTTTAAAAAATAATTCACATCTCAAAAGCTATCACCACCCAAATTTCAACAAAATTTCTTCAACCAGTAAGATAAGCATAAACATCCTGCATCCATTTTTTTTTTTATTATAGGTTTTTATACACAAAGCCCTAAAGCTAACATTCATTTAGAAAGACTAATAATGTTAGCAAAATGTTGATAATACTTTTTTCAATCACTTTAAATGATCATACAAAACAGAATATTTGCCTAAACTGATCAAACTTTTTACTTTCCAGTTAGTGAGAGTTTAAGGAATATAAACAACACAAAATGCTGGTCTTTTATTTTCATGATTAACATTTCAGTGAGCAATAACGCAGTAGGTAGTCTATTGGAGTGGGGCAGTTCACTGCCAGGCTCGCAACTGACTTGTCGAACTCTCTGCCTGGGGAGAGGAACCCAGACAAGGATATGCCTATGGGCAGAGTCTTGTTTGAGGAGGTAGACAAACCTGACCCCTTGTATGCTGGGCCTACGGGGAATTTTTGCCAAAGCCTTTGGCTTGGAATTGCCCTACAAAAAATCAGCCTTGTGCCACATCCTGCCTTGTGGGGAGTTGGTAAATACCAATAGTAATAATAGTTAAACTTTTTGCTGCTTCTTATTAAAAGAGATAACACGTGTTGGTATCACCCAAAATGTGATTTACAGATCTTGTTTTGCTGTTGACTTGGATAAAATAAATTTAAACCCATCAATTTGCTTATTGTCAGGTTACACACCAACATTGTACTCCCAAATAAATGTTCATTAAGTGCAAATTTTATTGATGGAAAACATAACTGATGCTGAAAACATGTACAATATTTACTTCTATTTCTAGAGGTTCATTTTTTAAATATTCTGATTGATATTAATATGAATGGAAAATTTGGTTTAGAGAAATTTTAAAATGTTCTAAATAAAAAGAAACAAATTCAAGAAAAATGTACCTTCTCTTTTTTCAATTCCTGAATCTCATTCGACATTTGTTGCTTTACAGCTTCAAGTTGGGCTGCAGCACTGAAAGAAAGAAATATCTTTCAATTTTAAAAGATGGTGAATAGTATTAAATAAGGAGATGCAAACCCCTGTTGCTCTTCAATTTATATCAAAAGTTTTAAATGAGAATTTTCAATTTCTAAAATTATAAAATTTCCACATATTTTTAGAAAGTTTGAAAAGTAATTGTATTTTGTCATCACTGGCAATTGTGATTTGCCTTTTGTTCTCAAACTTTTCTATCATAATCTTAAGGATATACATTAATACAAAACTTTTTTTTTTTTTTTTTAAATCAAGTTCACCACAAACAATGCATTAAAGCCACTGAAACACAAAAGGTTACTGTGCAGAGAAGAATTAGAAAACAGAACTACAACTAAGGAGCAAGTACAGAAGAAGATTAATCAGGAGGACAGTAGATAGTGATTGATATTGTATTTAAATTTTTGAAGATTAAAGTTGGCTAGAAAGAAGTTCCACAAGTGATAAGTGCAAGAAAAGAAACTGTTAGCAGAGAATTTACGGTTACATCTAACCAACTCAACAGTATGTCTATGAGATCTTGTAGCCAGTCTAGTACTGTGCTTATATTCATAAAACCTAGGTACCATAATGAAGAGCACATCCGAACAATTACCATGAAAGTCTTTAGAGAAAAAGCACAGGGAGGCAATTTTATGGTGGGGTGGGAAAGTGACTGAAGTCAAGACAGAATGCCTAGTTTTGGCTGTACTACTTTACAGAATGCATAGGCTGGCCTAAAATGGCAAACTGTTGATTCAAGCTGAGTTTAGGTGGTTTGAAACCTGTGGACATAAAATTTTGACAATGAGGGATGGTCTTTACATTTTAATATAATACCAAAAAAAAAAAACACATGAACACACTCAGTACAGTGGCAGTAATAAAAGTGTAAAGATGCCTCTTTACTCTGCAGATTCCTTGGTATGGTGATGACAAGTTGTTGACTGACCTGTTGAAAGCCTGCCCTCTCTCCCTCACACACTTCCTCCAAGGAGGATGCTACTATTATTGCATCTCTTCACTGAAAATTGAGGAAAAGAAATGATGTAGTGGTGGGGCCTGAAGAATTGCTGATAGACCATAAGAAACCAGAGATGAAATGAAACATAACAAATTAAATTTCTTGGAAACTTAATTGTAACTGCAGACACTCAAATAAACTTAAAAAAAAATGGAAATACAACCATAAAACAAAGTGTGCAGGTTCATTTTTTTTTAGGATTCTCTTGACACTTACTTGTTATAGCTATCCTCCAACATCTCTGATTTGGATTTTTCCATTTCCAGCATGGCAGTGAGTTGAGACTTTTCCTGACGAATACTGGATATTTGAGTTTCTAGAGCTTTTAATTTAGCAGACTGATCTTGCACCTTTTCTGTGGCAATATGGTCCTTTTCAGTGGCCACGGCCAATTGGTTGTTGATTTCAGCTGCAAAACAGCAAATGAAAATGAGACGCATGACCTTTGAGAAAAACAGTTACAATTAGGAAGCATATGTGATAAGTGGTCATATGATCAATACAGAATTATTTGGCATGTATTATTGTGTGATGAGTTGACAATTAAAAAAAAAGAACAATTGAAAAAAATTAAATTTTTGAGATACAGAATCAACAGGAAACTTTTTCATCACACTTATCCATACATAAACATTACAAAGATAAGAAAACCATTTTCAAGTAACTTATGAAAAAGAAAAAAATAAGAAAATAACAATTTCACTTAGTAAAATGCCTAAGCGATTTCAGATGATGCATCATAACAGACAGAATCCATCCTCTAAGATCCTTACAAAACTAGTAGTCATAATAGTATAATAACTTACTATTGTTTATATCCAGTAAAAATTAGGAATTTATCAACAAAATATATTACATATATAAAAAAAGAAATTTATTTTGTAAATTACTTTTATATAAATAACTATTTCCACCTCCCTTTACATATACATAATTCTATCAACAAAAACAGTACTTTGGTCTGATGGAGTCCTATAGGACTAAAATGAGTCACTGAACTTTTCCATTTTGTCATTAATTTATCTAATAAGTAACTAACCTGTCTAAACAAAGTTGATTGCAAGAAAAACTATATAGTTGCCTTACTACCAAATAAGTAAAAAAAACACTTTACATGACTGATGGTAATAATGAACAGATTGATTGACAAATATCACATACCACCTTTTCTCTCTCATTTATGACATAAAAAAAATAAAATGCATGAAAAAAATAAAAATCTTTCCAAAATTAAAAAAAAAAATATACAAAATTTCAGCTTTTTGTTGATGTCATTAAAAATTCCTGTGACTTACTTCCAAAATTAATATAGTCAACCATTTTGTTTTTCACTTACTAATTTTGTCCATGAGACTTTTCTCTCTTTTCTCCCACAGAGCTGATTGTGCAGCAAACGTTGATTGGAGGTTTTCAATCTGTCGTAGCAAGGGACGGGTGGCTGAGTATAGAAGCACAAAAAAAGACATAGTAACAGATCTTCTCAATGTTTAATACTGGGGCACTTTACATAGCATACCAACAGAAGTGAATGGTCAAAATGTATTATTACTTTCCTTGGTTTTTCCATGCAGATATTTATAACAAATACAGATTGATTAATACTGTGGCAAGAGTTACTGTAGTGAAATCTTGACATTTATTAACTTTAACTACATGTGTGCACACACACTAATGTACAAAACCAACAAGAAAAAAAAAATCAACCAAGTATATATATATATATATGTGTGTGATCTACAGACAGCCTGTTTCACTGCATCACAGCTCATCAGTGTGGCTAGACATCTGCTTCAAGCCGAGATTGAAACTCAACTGATTTGATATCATATAGATGTATAAAAACTGAAAGTAGTTTTTGTATGATTAAGAAAAAATTAAATCAAGCAATCTATTGAATTATCAGTTTCTTTTAGCAGAAAAATTAAACAAATTATATAATACCAAAAATGTATCACAATTTTCAACCACACACATTCTGATGATTATTTAAGGAGTAAAATGCCATAATTCTATGTTTACACTTTATATCTGAAAGTCTATCTTTGATATTGAACACTTCTCTCAAAATATAACAAATTTTATATAACAGTAAAACAGATCTAGTAAATAAAGATAGTTAAAAAAATTTTCTTTCTGAAAATGTTGAACACAACCATCTAGATCAGTGATTCTCAACATGGGCCTTTAAGCCCAAAAGTGGGCCAGAGAAATATTTTAAATGAGCCCAAAGACGCCAGGTGACATGTAGTCATTAGTCAGGATTTATATTTTCTACTACATTTTGCTTTTGCAAATAAAATGCATCTCCTCTTACTTGGAATTTCTATTTGTGCCTATGTGGGCCTGAAATCTTTTTGACACCAAAAATGGGGACCACAAAGAAGAAAAGGTTGAGAAACATTGGTCTAGATCAATGTTTCTCAACCTTATTCTGGTTGTGGCCCCCTTCAATCCAATGTGAGTTCTTTATGACCCCTCATGCCAACTTGAGTTCTTATCCTCCCTCCCACCCTCCCTCAATTTAATACATCTAGGAAAGTAGAAATATTAAAGGTTGTAGTTTGGATAGTACTATTGCCTGAAACACTAACTCTGGTTCTAAATCAAATAATATTATTTTGATAAATATTTTATCTGAATAAACTCATTTATTTACAAAACAAAAAAATACATATACCATCAGCTCTATCTTGTATGGTTTCAATGGGATCCCTGTGACTGGTGCAAGGCTGCCAAATTGTCAATGTTTGGCTTGAAAGCCATTAAAGAGAGCTGTAAATCACCTCTTTTTCTCTACATAAAGTCGATTTTGAGTCTTTGACAGCAGATGCATCATCCAACTGAAATCAGACTCAACCAAATAAGATGAGGGAAAAGCAAGTAAGAGCAACTTCACATCTTTCCAGAGTAGTGGGTAATTCTTATGCATGTCTTCATTCATCCACAGCTTCTGATATCCTCCACGCTTGTGCTGCTGTGTTATTTTTAAGTTCATGCTTGAGCCACTGTTATTTTGAAGTGCAATGAAACTTTCTTGTAGGGTGATATCAATTTCAGATGCATCAGCAATAAAGGGATCTTTAAACCAGTATGGCAATGTCGTTTGGAGTAGATCAGAGAAACAAGTTTTCATATCATTATGCAACTGCTTCAAATGATCAACATACACTGCTTGGTCATCTTCAAACAGCTCAGTGAATATATTTGCTAAGGAAGGTAACTGTGCAAACTCCAGTCTCCCAGCTTAGGTTTCTTGTTAAATGCGTTAAATGCCTCCTTGCAGGAAAACATGATGGAGTCGTTTCTTTGGAGTTCTTTGTTCAGGACATTCAACTTTTCAAAATTGAAAGACAAGTTGGTGAAAACATTAAAACTTTAAATTGAGTTTTAAATTTTAAGAAATTGAAAACTAAAGAAAGCCATTTTGCATAGAGCAAAAAAAAATTAAAATAATTAAATATTTATGTTAACAAAATGGCTTAGATTAATTTAACTTGATAATAAATTTAATATTTTATTTTAAATAATAATTATTAATTACAAAATACTCCACACAAACACACACACATATATATATATATATATATATATATATATATATATATATATATATATATTGTGGGCACTAAATTTTCTAGCCCCCTTGTGGCACCCCCATTTTTCAAAACTTGGCCTTGTAGCCTCTGAAAATATCTCATGGGTGGCATGTAGCCCATGTTGAGAAACCTTGGTCTGGATGATAAGAGTCTTCCATATTAGTAATAGGTATAGACAAATTGTTCAAGACACTTTGGCCTCATGCTTACCTGATGTAACATTGTTTGTCAAGTCTTGATTACGAGCCTCATCTTCTTGGGATCTCTGTCAGGGAAATATACAAAAATGAAATCATACTAACATTACAAAAATAATTAACTTTTCTTTATTTTTGCTGCTTAATAAATGGTAACAAAATCCTACAATTAACAATTTTTATAACTGAATATGGTCATTTATCAAATCATACCATATCACAGTAAAACTATTTCTGCAAATAGTGACAGCATAAATATTTTTCAAATGGCAGAAAAAAACTCAGTGAAGAAAATGCAATATTCTTATCTCTAATGATATTTATTTACAAAACAATCTAGATATGACTAAATCTTTGAAGCTAAGTGGGTTAGATAATGTGCTTACTCTTTAATATCTTTATTTAAAAGTTAACACTTTGGAACCACAATTTTCAAAGTTGATTTCATTTTATTACAAAATTTTGTCTAAATGAAATTTTAATGTTTTCTATAGCCTTAAAAACATGAATACAGTCAAATTTCAAAAGTTAAGCCTTGAACTTAAAAGCTTGTGATTATGAAATTTGCTTAACTTTTATGGAATATTCTACTCAGCTGAATTTAAAATAAATCTTATAAAGAAAGTTTTCTGAAATTTTTCTTTATTACCTTACCTAAAATGGCCCAAACATGCACAATAGAATTCATGCTAAAATAATGCTCTGGCTAAGATTCTAATGATTTTTATTCAGCAACAGAATGACAAATGACTTTTTAAAAGGAAAAAATAAATTCATATTAGTTTCATGCTGATCAGGAAAAAGAAACTGCCAGTTTTAAATCAATGCAAAATAACCTTTATTTCTCATGGCAGGTTTAAAAATGTCCCTAATGAAAGTTTAATCAGTAAGAAATTAGTGGATTAATTTTTTCTCCCACTAATCCATACAAACAATTTTTTCAAATTTTGATTTTTACCTATGTGAAAATTCTAGACTTTGTGGAGAGAGCTGAGGAGCAAATTTTTCTCAGTACACTGACCTGCTGTAAGTCAGCAATCTCTCGTTTTAACAAATCTTCACGACGTCCATATTCCTTTTCCATCCGCGTTAGGCTCATTCGTAGATCTTCAATCTATGGAAAAAAAAATTGTAATGTAATATGAATATGTGTGTGCATATCAGAAATTATTCTTTTAAATACAGGTGACATAAAAATAAGTTCTTTTGGACAGTTTTATTTGGAATTTATAGCCACCCATTATAGGTAGATTACCAAATATTTAATAAGTAAACACTAAGCATCCTTACTTACAGGAATTAGCTTGCTTAAATATCTATTATACTTTGGAAATGGCTAAAGATCCAGATTCTTTTTATATAACACATACACTTAGGAAAGAGTTCCAGAGAACCTCATTATTGTGAAAAATAAAAGTGCAAGTATTTGTATGTCTAAATTCATTCCTTTTGTAAATGTTCACACACATTATATATATGTACCAAATGGTAATTGGTAGGCATAATTCCAAGGACATTAATTCAATGTAAGTAACAGAGCAATATAATAATAAGTCAAGGAAATCCTTAAAAGTTCATCTTGGTTATAATTTATTTCGTCAATATATTTAAATATTCATCTCTTCAGACCAAAAAACCAATGCTCTGAAGAGATGAATATTTAAATATATTGGCAAAATAAATTATATCTGAGATGGATTTTTTTTTTGATTTTTATTACACACACACACACACACATATATATATATATATATATATATATATATATGTGTGTGTGTGTGTGTGTGTGTGTGTGAGATATGTCCAGTTTGCATGCTCTAGTACAGGTTTAATGTTATGATAATCTCAAATAGTTTTGATTATCAAAACATTAAATCCCCCAAATCAATCAAAGCAATTCCTTGATAATATTTTACCTGCATTATAAGGGATTCTTTTTCTAGTCGACTTTTCATACGTTCTTTCTCCATATTGAGATGATACTCATCTCGGGCTTGCATCTCTGCACTGAGAACAGCTTCATGCACTTTGCTGTCACGAGCTGCATTTGATTTATTCAATTCAGCAATCTCTCTAATAAGAAAAAGAAAAAGAACATTTTGGTCTCAAGATTTAAAAACAATTAGGAATAGAAACAAGTGCTGTTTAACTAGTTTCTTTTAACAGTTTCACTGCTGCTTTGATATAGCATTGTTGCTTGGCTGTACTGGCTCATTTGAGAAAAAAAAACACCTACTCTAAAAATTTTAAATGAATGTTTTATTACCTTATTGTTGAAACTGGATAAAAAAAAGTTGCTAGTCTGAATAAATTCTTTAGTTTTAATGTGTCAAATTCTATTTAGTCATAACTTTTCTGCTTTGGTCATGAAAACATAATCCTTGTATGTGTTGTGATAGAAAAATAAAGGACTAATTTTATTAGAACTATGTTTTCCTGGCCCAAAATGAGCAAATCAATAATGACATAGTGCAAGGAATGTCAATATTGCTAGAAAGCAAAAATAACCAAACATACAAAGAGTGAAATTCAGCCATTTGAATTACCTTCTAATTGGTTCCAAACGGTGCACCTGGATATGGTGGATCCCTTAACACCAGTGAAAAACCTTACTGACCCCTATTACTTATCTTATCAATATTTAATAACATGTATCAGAAAAAGTACTCGATGGATAGAAGCATGTTCCTTGACAGAGATTTCAGTACAATCAATTTCTATGACTTTTATTGACACATGGATATGCAGATTTGGAGTTCTCATCCATGTTGTTATAGATAGGGGTAGTCAATTTGAATCAGAATTGTTTTCAAAACTGTCAAAGTTAATAGGTTTCCACAGACTGTAGACAACATCCTACCATCCACAAATAAATGGATTAATTGAATGGATACATCAAACTCTAAAAACGGTAATCATTGCCAAGAGAGAATCATAATTGTCAGCTTTACCTATTGTCCTTCTTAGAATCAAAGCAACATTTAATGAACTGAATTGCTGTCTATTTATTGCTGTAACAGGAGGCAACACTCAAATTCCCTGAATATTAATCAACACAAACAAAGGCAAGGACATTGGAATAACAAATTCACAAATAAAGAAGTTATCTAAAGAAATGCAGAAAATTGAGGCTGAAAAACTATTCAATGGATATCTGCATTGTTTATCCAATTTATGTGCCAAAAGATCAAAATACATGTGTGGTTGTGAACAGAATTCGGAAATTCCTGAAAACTCTGTACACATGTATATTGAGGTATTACACTGTAATCAGAAATACTTTATCATAAAAACTTCTGATGAGGTTATAAATACCCTTTTAATTGACAGACTAAAGCCTGCATTATTTTTGGAAAATAAGACTGCTAGAGATTTTGCTGGATCTCAACCACAATTAAACTCAGTGTCAAATTCTGAAGGATTTAAAAGAGACAAAAATACAATTGCCAAATCTAATTCTGAAAGAATGATAAAATGGAAAAAAAACAAAACATAATTATAGTATTAAAAATTATGCATAAAAAATAATTTTAGAACTCTATTCTGCAGGGTGGGAAGTGTGTGTAGTAATATAAAAATAATCAAATAATAACAAGGAGACTAAAATTTTACCATTTCTAATGATAGATGTATATTCAGGATTGCTAGGCCATAAGTTATATTTTGATGAACCAATCAGAAACTGTCCTGACCATGATACAAACACCATAGTCTAGTGAATGATTTAAAAACAACTCAACCAAGATATAAGATCACTAATTATGAGCCAATGAGAAACAAAAGCAGCACTTTTGAAGCAAATCTCTAGATATGTATACATTATGTAAAATCAACCTAAATCAGAATAGATGAAATAATTTTATCAATTCTCTGATGCTACAGTCATTTTAACATAACCAGAGCTGAAATATGATACAACCCAAACATTCTCACATAGATACATTCAATATCTACCTCCTACCGCACGCTGGCAACTAAGATGTCTACACAGCCCTGTGTTGACACGAAAACAAACATATTTCCTTTCCTCACATTTTTAAGCAACTGGATGCAACATTTGAATACATACATACATATATATCTACATACTCCGGGACTCACTCGTGTACACCTGGACATCTGAACTTTTGAATCTCTAACTTTCACTCTATCCATTTATATATATATGTGTATGTGTGTATTCTGTCTTATTTAAAAATTTATTTTGTATATATTAATGGTGTGTGCATTTTCTTTCAATTCTTACACAAGGCCAAATAGATTTAATGTGGGAATATGGATGTTGTCATAAGATAACCACCTCCACACCCACCATATATGTATCCAAATGTATCAACACTTATATACAAACCAATATTCATCAGCAATAATGTTTATCACTTAGTAACCTTGTCATCTCATGAACTGGACCTACTTGTAAGAGTTATCCAGGGCAACTTGCAAACCTCGAGCTTTTTCTTGAGCATCTTCAAGGTCACTCTAAATAGAAAACAAAAATTACCAGAAAATCAGAATGTAATGATTAAATGAGAAACAAAAAAAAAAGTCAGTTCTGTGGTAACTAAATTATTATGTGATAATCAATTTAATTTATACAAAAAATTAAATGTAAAACATTGAATGGAAGAAAAAGAAAAGAACATTTAATAGACAAATATTCCAGGATGAGTTGTGCCCAAAGACTTCTCCCTTCACCACCTTAATAGAATGTTGCATTTTTAAATGCTTGTTTATTTTTATACTAATCCTATACAAAGTCATTTAATTTGTAACTTAACTTATTGACTGTAAGCTACATTTTTTTTCATACAGGAAGGTAGTAGTTACATTGACATTTAAAAACAAGTATCATTAGCATAAGAATAAAAGTTTTAAATTTAAAGCTGTATTACAACACATGAACAAGTCTAGGGTTTATTCTAATTAAAAGACAATGAGTTTTGTAATGACCACAACAAGATAAATCATCATCTCACCACAGTAAATCTGACATGTTCTATAAATGCCCACTTATATTGACATTTGAATTAACTTCCACAATAACAGAGTGGAAACATCTGTAGCAAAAATTTGTATTATAATAGCACAGAAATCACTTGCTATAATATCCTTCTAATGACTTCAGGCAATGACTAGGTCCTTAGCCAGAATATGCATAGGATAGAAATGTAGGACATTTCTCAGTAGTAAATAATTCAAAGCCATGTGCATTAAGTGAATGAGAAAAATTGAAGATATTTGATAAGAGATTTATGTTTTACTTAAAAACTTGATTGAGGTGTAATCAAGTTTTTAATCATTTAACTGCTATAATATTCATCTTTATTCATTTACCAGAGAAATGATCTTAGCACAAAATTTGGTATACAAGCCAACTTATAAATTTTATTTTCTTCAAGTGAAAAAAATGTAGTTATCCCATTGTAAAAATCAATAATATATAAGATTAAACATTTATGGCAGAAAATTCAAGTTTAAATTAAAATTTAATTTTACCAAGTCATATGAGAATAGGCAATAAAGAATATAGATATATACTAAGCTTAGTATACTAAGTACAAAAGTACAAAAGTAGAGCAATCACTTAGAATAGACTCACTACACTATAGCAGTGGCATGCAAAACTAGTTTCCTAATTAATATATAGGTACATATCAATTCCTATCATTGACCATATGGATGTTGTGCATGTAGCCTACTGTTATAATATCAGTAATATTTTTTAATTTTAATTTTCAGTTAATCTGAATTTTGGTCTCATAACTTTCAATCTGATTAATGCTAATTTTCTCTGAACAAAAGATTGAAAGTGATGTAGTGGAATAACCTGTCATCCCAATGAGTGACTACACTATAGGTAGTTGGTTGGTTGGTTGTTTTATAGCATATCAACCTCAGTGGGTCATTTAATTCCAACAAAATTTTGAAATAGATTCATAGCGATATATGATGTATAAGGTGTGTATGTATACATATATATTTGGACCATTTTTCAATTACTCATATTTTTTAATACAATCCGACTTCTTTTAGGAAATTTACAATCTTGGATGGTTTTCTTTTCATAAAATGTTTTTTTTTTTTTTAAATTACTCACTTGGTTTGGTTTGGTTTGTTTTATGGCATATCAACCTCAATGGGTTATTTAATGCCGACAAATTTTTTATTGCTGGTAATATTTTGTTTTGTCAAAAATCTATTTCTGGTAATAATTTTTTCCTTCAAAAATGTATTGCCGGTAATATTTTTTTTTTCCAAAACATATTGTTGGCAATATTTTTTTTTCAAAAATGTATTGCTGGTAATAGTTTTTTCTTCAAAAAATTATTTTTTTACAAAGTAGTCCTGGTATTAAAACCCATTTTTACCCCAGTTTCGGGGTTAACTATTTGCCCATAGCTGGGACCCTAACAGGTGCTACCATCCTGGGCCGGGGTGAACCTGGGAACACCAGCAATTAAGAGGTGGTTCCAAGCTCCTCAAAACCTCCTGATCAGAGGCCTTGCTACTGGACGTAGTTTATCGTCTTACCCAGAATGTAGATGTAGTTTGTCACTATAGGTAGTAACTACCTATAAGTATCTGTAAGTCAATGGACTACAGAGTCTAGCTGGGATCTGTTGAGTACAATTCAGACTTATGCGAGAACTACCGACATTCCAATAGTAGCACTCACTAGTGGATTGACTTGCGATGGCCTTGTGCATAACTGTTACCTTTATTTTTATTGTACTGGTTTTTACAATAAACCTTTACTTATTTTATTCACCTTGTTTTTCAAGTATATATTCCTATTAGCATGGAATATAACAGAAAGATATAAAGAAAAATTCAGAGATTGCAACTTCTGAATAAGGCAAACTATTCCAAAATGGCTTAGAAAAGATTAATTTTTAAAAAAAACTAATAGAAAAGTAAAGTTTTTTGCTGACCTTCATTTTGATTATATCACGATCTTGCTTCAAAACTGCAGAATTCAATTTGGCTATGGCTTCTGTGGGAAAATATTAAAAAAATGGTAACAATGAAAATAGTTAACTAATTGGGGATAAATTGCCCTATAATTGCGAATATTTCTTTATTTATTATTTTCAATTATTTTTATAATAAACAATTTTTTTCAGGTATAAACAACTGGGATATTTTTAAAAAGAATATTTTTGTTATACTTTTAATACCTCTTCTAAATATAACTTAATAATTAACTCATACTTTTTACTTTATGCTTCTATATACATGGATTTTTTCTCAATTCATGTATTTGAAAAAACTACATTCAAATTGCTGAATATGTTGTATGCTATATTATACTAGAGTTAGTAAAAAAAATGCATGTTCTTTAGACACAAATTTAATAAAAGCACACATACTAAAATGACCATAATTCTCAGGATTTCAAATCTAATCCACAATATTAGTTTCTTTTCTCAATCAAAGTGTTCTACATTTAAATGAGAATATGTTACTATTGCCTTCTCTATGGTTTGGAATTCAGAGTTTTCCGTCTATTAAACTGGTGCCACCCAAGGCTAGAATATCTAATCTAGACAACAGGGTAGGAAACTGAAAACCACATAACCCATTCGATATAGTATAAAGAGCACAGAATAGAAGAGTTATATATGTTATCAACATTAGCTAAAAAGATGTGGAATGTGATTCATTTTATAATGATGTGTTTAGGAAACACAAATACCTGTAAACTCCTTTCTACACATGGACAGTCATATATTAATCTTGTCTCATTGCCAGACCAAAATACATAAGAGACAGTGAGGCTGAGTAATTCTTTCTTCCATGTTAGGACAGATGAGAAAGGGGACTATTAAATTATTAAAGTGTCTTAAATTTTTCTCTATTAATACTGAATTTAAATCTTTACAAAACCTAAGTAAAATATTAAAAAATTCATAAGGTAAATAAGAGCAAACTATTTAATTAATCTTTCAAATTTAAGATTAAAAATCCTTTATATCATGCTTCTTAATGAAAAACAATGTTTCATTTTGTTCTTAATAGAATATTTGTAACTGAATAAACAAACCTGTTTGCTTTTTTTCCATATCTTCTTTTGAATCCAAGACAACTTTCAAACGTTCAAGTTCGTTCTTTTGTTCTTCAAGTTTTTTCCTAAAAGTAAAAAAATATATAATATATATTATAAATTACATATTTAATCCTTATAAAAGGCTATAAAAAAGGCTAATTTTTAAGATGAATTATGAATATAAAAATGATAAAATTCCTAAAATAAGTGGCAATAAAATTGACAAATGGAGCAAGAAACACTACATAATTTATACCAATAAAATTCAACATTTAATCTTAAAATCCTTAATCTTCATTTGACAAAATATGATAAAGAATAGAGAATATTCATTATTAATTTTTTTATTGGAATCTCAAAAGTTTTCCACCATATAATACACACATAACCCCAAATTTTACTTAAAAAATTACTCTAGACATACTACAAAGGAGTTTGAGCTAATTATTATCAACATACCAACTCCTGTTTACAAGAATGCCTGCAAAACAATCCAGTATTAAATAAAGGGTAATACACAGCAGTAAATATGGGCTTATTTTTTGATCAAGTACTTATCTTAAGAAACTAAAGAAGCAAATAACAAATTTCAGAAAATCTTACATAAAGTTAATAGAATAAAAAAAAAAAAGTGATGAATGTATATAAAGTTTAAATACTAATGAGAGAAGAGAAAGCAGTTCAGTATGGAGTAAAAGAAAGAAACTAATCAAGACAAAATGACAAAAGGGAATCCATGAGAGGAGAGAGTATTTTTATGCAAGAAGTATCCAGGATTTTAAAAGAAATAAGCAGAAATTTAGACTAGAAATATAAGGAAAAGTCATTGTGAAGATAAAAAAAAGATTAAGATCAAAGGTCTTACTTTTGAGTGGAAATGAGAGAATCACTTTCTTTTTCCTTAACTCTCAATTTTTTGATGATGTTGTTACACTGCAACTGTTGCTTGGATAATTTTTCCCCTGTAAAAACACAAAGATTTAGATTTAAATTAGCCAAAAGGCTGATTACTAATTACGCCACTGTAGAAAATTTTTCCAAGCATAAAATTAGTATTACATTGTCATACTTAGTTCTTGAAATTATCTTTATAATCTTTGCAAAAATGATTTTTTTCAAAAGTAACTGAATTATTAAACTATGAAATTTAATTTTCATTCATATTGTGTGTGTGTATGTAATTATTGTTTAAAATTTGTTATATTAATGAAGTAAGAGTGTTCAGTATCAGACAGAGCTTTTGTAGATGATGATAATGTGGAGATGGAAATATTGCAGGATGGCTATCAGTTTCATGGCTCAAGCAATCTTCTTGTAAGGGCTCCATATATAGATCACTATTTCCCATGTTATTTTTGGTATGTTTGAGTTTATATTTTCAGGTTTAATACATATTTTAAGTGTTATACTATTTGCATATTTTTTGTTGCTAAATTATGTTTTGTGTGAGTAGTTTCCATTTCCAGTACTTTATGTTATTTCTATATTTTTTCTGGGTTTCCTTAAATCATACAGTTGCTTGGTATATTACATTGGTTTGTAGCAGTTACCATTTAGTGGGTATTCAATCTTTGTTCTGTAATTACAAGTGGAAGTTGTGGGTGTTTGTGGTGATATTTCTGTTGCTTTTTTTTATGGTTTGTGCAACTACAGCTAAGTTTCAGAGTATTTCTACTGAGTATTTTGTGCAGTTTTCTTAATTTTAGGGAAGCAATTGTTAATAAATTTAATGAATATTTTAACTATATTTGCTTTTACATTTTTATTATAAAGTGAGTTGAACTGTATGATGTTTCTTTTTCTGTTGCATTTATTCTTATTGTTCTGTTTGGTTCAAATATAAGTTTTGTCAAAAACCAGTTTTTTAGTGGCATTTCATAAGGGCACTAAATGTTTTTTCAGTAAAACTTAATTTTTACATTACAGAAAAATTATTACAAACATGTAACCTGCTTGGCTTAAACCAATGCAGGGACAATTAAATTTATGTTTATAAATATTCAAGTTTTTAAATTTGATGCAAAAAGATTAAAATTGGTAATTATTCTCTCTCTCCACATATATATTAAAGTTTGCAGCTTATATTTCATATCATAAAGAAACAATTTATACAAAGAATTAAATAGTAATGTTAATGTGATTAATGGCAAAATCACTTTACTAACAGAGGCATTAACTTACTATCAATATTAATATTTGCCTATATATAAGAAAATTGTGCCCTGAAAATGACAATTTGAAATTGTTGAAAGTGCTTGGCATGTGTCTTCCATTTCACAGTAACTGGAATATAAGGATCTTATTATTCAAGGAATTGATAGTAAGTCAATGTCTCATTAAATTCTGTTACCAAAGTGATTTTGCCATTAATCACATTAACATTGGTATTCAATTCTTTATATAAATTGTTTCTTTATAATATATATATATATATAAAAATGTCTTCCACATACAGGCCTGTTTTGCTGTATCATAGCTCATCAGTGTGTCTACACATCCAATTGCTTCAAGCTGGGATCGAAACCCGATTGTTTTGGCATCAGTCAGAGTTTCTACCCCTGAGCTATCAGTGCAGAGGGAAAGGAAAATTCTAAATTCTAGCGTATTAATTTTTACAAATGTGTGTGTGTGTGTGTGTGTGTGAGACCGAATCAAAAAGTATTTGTACTAGTGCTATAAAAATAAAACTACAACACATATTGATTCGGTATTTAATTTTAGAAGTAGTACCCTTCTGAAGCCACACATATTATCCAGCATCATTTCCATTGATGGAAGCATTCTTGGAACTCCATTTTAGGGATAGTGAGCAACTACCTTGTTGCATTCTTTTGGATTTCCTTAATGTCTTGAAATTGTTTTTCTTTCAAGTGGGAATTGATTTTTGGAAAGAAGAAGTCATAAAGGGTGAGATCTGGAGAATATGGTAGTTGTCAAACTGGGGGAAATGTCATGCTTGGCCAAAAACTGCTGCACAAGCCATGGTGACTGATGGAACCTCTGTGGTGCAGTGAAACAAAAATACTTTCTTTCCATGTGCTGCTATAAACAATGAAATTGGGTGAAAACATTGTAACAGTGTGCATGTGTAACCGATTTCAAAGTCAGTATGTGCCAAGTGGCTTCACTCTTTGTACTTTAGCTCTGTTACCATAGCTTGTCTTTTTCTGACAATGTCATTAACCATTTGGCTACAAAGGCTTTACTGGTGGGCATCACTCAAATAAGTCAGAGTATATTTCAAATGTCTGGCTGCTTGTATAGATTAGTATTAAATGTAATAGTCTTCAAATTTTCAGTATTAAAGTATTGTCATTATTACTTTTATACTAGTCTTCCATCTTATTTCACTTTGTAATGACCATAAAATAACAATAAAAGAGTTGCAATAAAAAGCAACAGAAGTAAGATTAAAGATTAATCATAAGTTAATAATAATGAAAGGACACATTGGCTCAGTGAATAAAAGCATTAGTTGCATCCAGTGACTTGACCCAAAGAGTTGTGAATTCAATACCTAGCTACAGCTGAGGTAAACAAAAACTGGGAGAGTAAAGGTAGGTAACTGATACTGAGACATCCGGAAAAGGCATGGCATGTGGAACTAGAACAATCTACATCAGGGGATGAAATAAAGGGTTTTGTTCAAAAGAAGAAGGCCAGAGTGTACAATGGCTGAAACATTGTGAATATGGCAACAAAGATGAGGAAAACAGTTTGATTAATGTAAATAGTGTAAACAGTTATATCTTATATTTGTATCTTAAATTTGATATTTAGCTTTACTGGATAAGCAATGAGCAGTAGTGAGTTATGAAATAGTGAGATAACTAATCACATGAAGAACAACCAACATTAATAATAGAAAGTCTTGTATTATTCTGTTATATTCACATTTTCCAAATATAATAATTTGATTCCTTTAAATATTGAATTGAAATATATAAAATAAAAAAGTTAACCTTCTTGTAAAAGTTCAGTAATCTGTTCATCTTTTTCTTTGACCATTACTTTGTAGGTTGCATCAAGGTTTTGGCTGAAAGGCAAAAGAAAAACAAAGGAAACTAAAAATAACAAATTAGTAATTGTGCTCAATTTATGACATGTTGGTTCTGTATCGGGGAATGAATTGCCTCCAAAAATACAAGTAAATAATCAGCTGTTAACAGGATTTGAAAGCACATCAATCAAATCACAGTACTAAACTCTTAGATTGCATTAAACAGTATTAAATAGCAAGTTCGTACAATCATATATTGAAAGAAGCCATTGATCAAAAACAGATTACCATTTCTAATAGAAGAGGTAATAATTGTATTAATAATAAATGATCAAGTATTTCAGTGTGATATACTTTATTGTTGTCATATACAAAATAATTACTAATTTCTTCTTTCATATTAGCCTTCCTAATAAGAACCTTCATCCAAATCATTTTCAATCTGTCATAAAAATAATAAAAATCTGTATTAAAAAAAATAACCCATATGTAATAATATTAAATAATATATATATATATATATATATATATATATATATATATATTTTTTTTTTATTTTATTTAAGTTATTATATTTACTATATTTATTTATATACATTTATATTTTTTTTATATATTTATTTATTATTTCTTTCTCTAATATTTTATATTAAATTAGCTTCCTTCGATTATTAATAATTTATAGTTGAAAACTCGCCACTCTAAAATTAAATTAATAATTACTTGTTTTATGTTCATATGGTAATACCAGTTAATTTAGTTGCTAGATTTAATGCCATGAGAAAGATAATTAAAAGAAATTTTTTTTTTTTAAAGTTTTTGAAAAAGAATGGTCAGTATACACACAACACCTGAAGATTGTGTTTAGCATGAAACTCCAAGATGATATATATATATATTCATTAACATATATATTTTATAGCTCTGTTATAGGCGCTATTACACTCTTCCACCAAGCTTTACCTGCACACCTCCAAATCCTCTTGTCCACCGATGGTGAATAGGTTTGTTCCCTACAATGGCTGTTGCAAGCAATGTAGTCCCTACTGACTGCTAGCAAATCATAGTTACAGCACCAGTTAATGTAATTATCAATATTGTTGTAAAACTGTGCTACAATCTTCAAAATGGTGATGTCTTCAAAAACCTGTTGATTGGGAATGCGTTGAACACCAGCCATAATACTTGGTTTGAAATGAACAGTAACGACTAAAGTACGTGAAGTTATGAATGTAAGCAGTTCAAAAAGGAGAGCTAACAGGAAAAAAAATATTTCTTGGGGAAAAAATTACATCACAGCGCAATATTACAAGATAGGGGTCTGTGAAAGTGTAATAGCACCATATTATATATATATATATATATATATATATATATTTATTTATTTGTGTATTTGGACAACAATTCCTCTTTTTTATACAAGTTTCATTGAAAACAGCAGACAAAGTACTGTGGTTAATAATTTTAGTTAATTTTTTTTGTGTTCTTATAATTTTCTTCTTTTCAGGCCATAAATTATGTAGAAATAGTCAAATGTTCTGTACGTTTAAGTGCTTTCAGCTATACTATTAGCCATTATTAAAGATGATTTTATTTTTACTTTTAACTGAATTTATGGATTGTTTTATGTATGGATCTGAAGTTACAGGAATATTTTATTTTCCAAACATGGTCAGCACATAAATGATATTATTAAAGTGTTGCTTTTTCTTTTTTTTATTAATAATGCTTCCATTATTTTTAGCTTTTTTTTTTTAACATGTGGATGAGGCTATTAAAGTTGTTGATTATACAAATATAATTATTATTAATTTATATTATTACCTTGATCCATCCATCTATAAGTGAAATGACAAATCATTTAACATTAAAACCAACTTTAAGATAATTTAACAACTGATTAACACTGGTTAAGATAAACAGATGAAAATTTATGTCTATGCAATTCAATCATTGTACATGCTCTCAATGAACAGCAAAAGGGATTTACTTCCATCTTTCTCCTTTTTCTCAGTATTTATTTTTTTAAATTCTGAAACAAACTAATCAGCTTATAGTAATTCATTTTTGAAAACTACAGTTGTTGAGTTCATTTAGTTGGCATAATCTTTTTACAACAATACATTTTTAATTTATTCAAAAAAGGTAATGAATATCAAGAAAACAAGATGGTCTTCAAAGCGATTCAAATACACAATACAATAAAGCATTAACAAGGAATAATGATTTGAAAAGACAAATAACTTTCAAACAATATTTGATACTCAAAGCCAATTTTATGTTGCTCTCTGTTATATATTTCTTCTGAATGTTGATCTTTAATATCTATTCCGTTAGTAACATTCATTAAAATGCTACAAACATTTTAAAAAGAAAATTCAACTTTACTCCAAGATTCAATAGTAAAGATATTCATACTTTTTGCTGCATTTAAGTTCAAGTCTAGCAGAAAAGAAATGTTATTTATAATATTTGGTTTTATTATGTGGTTATTTATTTAGGAATAATAAAGCTTAATTTGGATCAAGTAAAATCGTGGAAGTTGGAAGTGTCGTTTATTTTGAATTATTGAAGAAAATCTCTACAAAAGAGAACTGCTTACTTTTGAGAATTTTCTTCCAATGTTTGTTGCAGTTGAACTTTCAAACTTTCTTTTTCCTGAAAACAATAAAAAAATATATTTAAAAAATAGGCACTCTTCTCTAATGAAGTGAGAAAAATATTAGATCATAATTCTCTGAGTGCACTAAAAATTCAGTAATCTTATGCAAAATTTGTGAAAAACAAATTTAAAACGATTAAAACTAAATATCGAAGCAAATTGTTATGAGTTCATATAAAAATGATTGCAAAATCAGATTTTCTTTAAAAATTCTATGCAGAAAAAAATTTAAAAATTACTTCAAGAAAAGCAAGTGCATTGATTTTTAAAGATTATGAAATTGGTAGTTATCAGATATTGTGGTTAGTAATTTATTCAAACTATCATCTTATTTGAAATTAAAGTTTACTGTTTTTCTTCAAGTGTTCATTTTTTTTTTTTCAAGTATTCTTCAATGACACATCATGGATTAAACTTACCATTTTACATTGAAAAGAGTAATTTACTTAACTATCTATAAACAGCTCTTTTAATTTTAGATTAAATCCAAAGACAATTACAACGTTTAAATGTTATTTCCGAAATCAATTTTATACATTACCCTTCAAATAAAGGAATGAATTATCAAATACAAGTACAAAACTGATTTAGATTTGCACTCATCCACATGTAAACTTTAACTTAAGTTTTGATCCTTATATGATAAATACATCCCAAGAAAATATTTCATTAATCCCAGTTGTCTATCAGATCCTAATACTGTTAAGATATTTTTTGTCCCACTCCTAATAATTTAAAAAACACAAAGGATCTAAAGAGTAGTGTTTATTATTAACTGAAACTAGTTGAATTTGTGGAAATTCCACCGATGTTGAACACTAAGATTACCATTACTGTACGACTATACAATTTGTCACCTTTTCTCTGTATCTTTATTCTATCCAGTATCCCTTCTAATCCTTTGTTGACCATACATTCTTTTATTTAAATCTTATACAAACATTAATTAATTTCATATATTAATAAGGAATGTACAAATATTTTCTGCTGCATCTTACCATTTTTTTGGCTCTATTTTAACTTTTTACAACTTTCCATTCCTACCTGCCTTTCAATCTTTCACTGTTTCTTGATATCCAGCCAGCAATCCATCACTTCTGTCTCTTTACACACACACACACACACACACTTTCATTTCACTAGTAATTTTTTTAACTTTTTTCTTTCACTTTCTTACTTTGTACCTTTCATTTGTCATTCATTTTATCCTCCTCACCTTACTTTTCTCCTAATTCCTTCTAACTTTGTATTTTCATCAGAAATGTAGGTTTCATGAGCCAAATTAATTTCAATTATTCTATAAAATCCAACATTACTAAATTAGGAACAATATACATTAAATAAATTCTGTACTTTATCTTAAAATTAATTACATTTACTTTCCACATTACATTTTTGAATCTCCTAAGATACATTGCACTCAAAGCTGAAATATTGTCTGTACCTTAAGAACAGTTTGTAGTTTCTTCTCTGCTTCTCCAATACGTATGGTAAACTCTTGTGTTAGTGCATTAACATCAGCCATTTCTGACTCGCGTGTCTCTTCACATTGGAGAAGTTGGCTAACAAATAGAGAAAGGAAAAAAAAAAACAATAAGTTAAAGCAAAATGAGCTTTGTAAGCAGGTTTGAATAGTCTGCTATTTTCATAATGAAGACATTGCCACCTGGTGTTGTCAATGCTATGGCAATATATTATACAAGAAAAAAAAATGTACAAAATACACGCGCACACACACACACACACACACACATATATATATATATATATTTTGAAAGAGCCATTTTAGTTTAGAAAATATTGTACAAAAACACATTGTACACTTATTATGATAGTAAATGCATTAATTCAGAGACAAAAAAGTTTATTTTGGATAAATGTACAAAAAAATAAAAAGCATTATCAAAACTTCTTAAAAACTACTTTGGGATGCAGGCTGAACATAATTATCAACAAATTAAATAGTAAATAAGAAATACATATTCAATGTAATATGTTTATTAAAAATGACATACTCTGATTTAAATTAATTCAAACTTAACTTATTTTTGCAAAGTACATCTAAACCATGTACAGTGATTTAAATAATGCTTTTATTATGAGAGGAACAGTAATGATTCACTAATTGATGAATCAAATTGGAGGTGGGGGAAGAGTTCTTAAAATGTTCAAAAATTTGTTTACTTTTAATGCAAGATAAAATTTAACTCTTTAAAACAATGAACATAAAGACATAAGCAAATTCGTTATCTAATAGAAATAGATATGAATGTTACTCAAATACAACTTATCCTCAAATAAACCTCAAAGAGCAGCCAATAACATTCATAAGATTTTCTGCAAAAAACACAATGTAACAATTTTCAATTTTAATTCTAGTCAATGAAAAATCTTTCAAAATATGAAAAATTAACCCATTACAAAATATTAATATTCTTCAATATTCAAACTGAAAAGTTATGAATTATCCATTCAAGACATTGTATAATATGATAGAGTGGTAAGCCAAAAAATTAATTTGGTTTATTAAGTAAAAAGAAACTGTATTTTTTGCATTAGTTTTACTGAACATACTTTTTTGCTTCACTGTCTTTTGTCATCATTCAGGTAGATTGATTATTCCATTCTCCCAAAATTCTTTTATCTTTCCATACAAAGAACTGCTCTGGGTTTCTTTTGCAGTCTTCCAGGAAAATAACTTTTTTTCATTAAAAAAAATTCCCTGATTGATGCCTTCAATTGTGATAACCGAGAGTACTTTAGTTCTCTAGGAGCCGACTGTAAAGGACTACTTTCCAATATATATATATATATATATATATATTCATAATTAATTCATTGAGTCTAGAAGAATCCTCAACAGAATGCAGAAAGTACTGGATGGTCATTTCATCCTATTTTTGGGACTTATCAGCAGTGCACATCCATTACTGAGAATTGGACCCAGACTGTTATATGACAAGTGTCATACCCACTGGCCCAACAGGTTTTGGTTACAAAGAGGTAACAAATGGATGGAGTGGCTTGAGGATAGAAGTTGTGACTCATGGAGGCACAGTCTGTTGGTATAAGTAGACTCGGATGTGTTACATGACGGAATTTGTGAAGAGCTGGCACTATATTGAGTCTGGTTTGTTATCGCTCGTCACTGAGACCCACTGGTCCAGTGGGTATGACACTGTCATATAACAGCTCAGGTTTGATTCTTGGTAGTGGGTGCACACTGCTGATGAGTCCCAAAACTAGTGCGAAGCAGCCATCCAGTGCTTTCTGCATTCTGTTGAGGATTCTTCTAGACTCTATGAACTAATTATGATTATTCAAATGCCCTTAATTTATATATATATATATATATATATATATATATATATATATATATATATATATATATAAAAATGATAAAATATAGTTTTTAAGGTATGCTACATTTATGGGTAAAATTGCTGAAGTGAGGAGAGGAGAAACAAAGACTTGCCGTCAGGGAGAAGGTGACATCGGGGGAGAATGTCTTCACATTGCAATCATGATTGTCACTCCTGTGTGGGCCTGTACAGACATAACAGATGCTCCACCACCATCAGCATTTGAGGCATGACTCTTTGGGTGCAGATCCAAGGTTTCTCAAGATTGATGGATGCCACACGATATGGCATCACTTGTGGATGAACACTAGTTTTTGGCACAATTATCAGTTATTCATTTTGCTTGTCCCCATAACCTTCAGTATTCCATATTACTGTAAAATATCTACTTTTTATTCATTATAGTTGTTTAAAAAAAAAGAAAAAAGAAAAAAAAAGCAGAGTGGAAGGGGTGACAGGTTTGCTATGCTTAAATAGTGAATTTCACATAAAAATATAACCCAGTAAAAGTTTTGCTAATTTATGTGGAAACCACACACATCATATAACATTAATTATTCTCAACTTCAGCTATCAACTTGAACTGATCTATCTGTCCTTGGAATAATATTCAGTGTGAAATCTCCAGTACAAAACTTTACAAATAACTCGATATATTCAATCATTCACACTACTCCATAAACTGCACTATTTTTGGTTTTCTTTTGTATTTTATCTGTAGTGTTACCTTACTTAAACTAACAAAAATATAATCTGCTAAAAATATTCTTTATTACTTAACATTAAATACAGAAATATTGATAGGTGCATGTCCTGTATCCTGAATTCATAAAAATCTTAAAGGACGCAGTAACTTTCCCATCTGTGCATCAAGTTTCCCTTGAAAAATGATACAATGCACAAAACTAATGTAAATAACATATTCTTTTTGTATCTGAACAAGAATCATTCATCAAATGAACCTGATATTGATGGTAATTAGGACATTAATATTTTATTTTTTAAGCATTGTATTCTTGTTGTTAACATACTTTTTAAAACTATGAGTGCAAAACAATTTAACTAACAAGTAGAGACATTTATATTTAACATTCAGTTCATTGTTCAAATAACATTTAACAGGGCTCAAAAAATGCCTTCAGAAAAAATAAACTTTGCTGTATGGATTGGTACAGACTGTAGGCAGAGCTGTAGATTTTGTAATTTGAAATAATAAACACAGCATTAATCATTTGATGTTATTTCTTCACATACTTTTACTAGTTCTTCCTTTCTTCACTTTCTCTTTCCTTTTTTTTTATTGGGTGATGGGATGTATGGATGGCATGAAATAGACATCAATCTTGCCTTACCAGACACTTTCTTCGTTTTATTTTTTAATTTATTTCTGTATTTTAATATTTTTAAATTTGTATTAATTTTTTTTGTCAATTTAAAAAAAAAAATAGTTTGTTCTGTCAAAATTCTCAATATATATAGTTTCTTAATTGAACTGTGATTAAGTGTAAATACTATTTTTGTATTGAATTTATTAATTTAAAAAACAAAACAAAAAAACAACAAAGATATTGTGTCAATTTAAGTGATTCAGCATGATTAAAGTTGTTTTATGGGATGAAAAAAAACAAAACAAACTTAGTCTGTAGCCCTGTAATTTAGCACAACAATTTATTAAGAAACTTTAATTGTGACCATCGAATATCCCAGGGACCCAGCAAAATTACCACCTGTGTGTCCCAAGGACTCACTATATTAGAAATCTATCAACATCACTGAAATATGCCAATTTTGACAAATTTGGACAGCAGTAAATGAATAAAAATTTTTTTTTTTTTTTTATAAATTACTTTCTAATAACTAAATAATTTAGATAGTGACTAAAAACTAAGATTATTACAAAAAAAATTTTTTTTAAATGTTATATTCACAGTTTCTAAATGCCAAAACTTTTGGGCAGAAAGAGAAGCTGTAAAAATGATTCCAAGAGAATTATGCATGAATTGAAGCAAAAGTGAACTGGGAAAATTGGCTTAAAGAAATTAATATCAGATACTCACTTCCGTAGAATACTGTTGCTTTCCAGAAGATCATTGTTTTCTCGGCTTAGTTGCACAAGCTTATTCTCACGATGCTGAAGAATTTCAGACATTTCTGCTAGTTTCTGAAGAGATAAAAAAGCAGACATACAGCAATGAGGCTTTTATATATTAAATGTGAAATTAGCACATTATAGTAAAAATTTAATAGCTTATTTTTAAAATATGGTTAGCAAGACTAAACTGATTTTCTATTTAATCAATATATTAAACAAAATCTACATAGAAGTCACATTGCTGGTTGAATATTTCCTTATCTTTAAATGAAAGTAAATCCTTGAATTAGTTTTTGTTTCAAAGATTAACATTTATGTGTAGACATACAATAATATCTTTTTTCAAGAAAACTTAATACCAGTCTAAAAATAACAAACACACATATAAGCAGAAACCAATTATGGCAAAATTAATGAACAAATTTTCTTAGTTTTTGCTATTCAAATTCAAAACAATAAAAAAGGTTGAAGAAGACATATTTAAATTAAAAAAAAAAAATCATTGGTACTTATCTAAACTTATTTTCCAGAAATGTATTATTTTCTTTATAATCAATATTTGATAAATCTGGTACTAACATATAATTATGAAAATATAACAGTTGGGTACTAGTTATAATAATTCCATAATAGTAACTAGATGTGAAATCAGAAAGACTATTTCAGTTCTAAAGTCAGTTTAACTGCCAGAACTGAATGAAAGGAATTCAAGAACTGTAAGATTAACAATCTCTAATTATTAACTTTTGGCTTATCAAAAACTAAAAATTATATGAAAACTTATTCTATCAAAATTATTTTTGTTCTTTTGGACTTTAAGGTTGCCTACCTTCAAGACAAATAATTTTTTCATGGTTGAATTGATAAACAATTTTTTTTAAGACTAAATTTCTAATTAATCAAAGGAAACTATATTCCCCATTTTGACCACATACTTAAAAGCTGCCTGATTAGATAAACATATTTGCAATTGTAAGGTTAATTACTAATTTTTACTATTCAATTAAGTTGTTATCTATGAACAGAGATAGTTATTGGTAAAGGTGATTTAACGACATTAAAACATTATTCATGAAAAATTTGATTTGGGGACTCATTTTTATGAAGCAGGCTATACTGATGGATATTATCTTTTAAGGCTGTTTTTTTTATAATATATTTGAATATAAACAAAGAAAATCTACTTGATGTATTAAACTGACCCACAACATTTTTAGCAACTCACCCAGCTGAATTAAGATTAAATATTTTAAAAAATTCATTTTTGACAAAAGTATTTTTAAATAAATTGGTTTGCCATGTGTAAGATTAACTTATTAATAACAAAAAGTATTGCATCTAAAACAAACAACTCTTGTTTAAAGATAAACAGATCATGAACAGTATTCAGTGTTTTAAAGTTATCTTGTTTTAGAAAGGTTAAAAAGTTTGCTTATGCTTCATATTTCTATTAAACAGTTATTTTTGCAATTGGTTTTATAACCAATTTTCCTTAGGATTGAAAAATTAATACTTAGGAAATTAAATCCTTATATACTTTGTTTCTGTGAAGTAAATGAAGTTAAAACAAAATTTGGATTACCAGCAGTAGCGTTTAAAATACTGAGTAGGATTTGGTGAAACAGTCAAAACGTCACTTATATACAAAAAGAACACAATAGTAACAATAAAAAATATTTTGGAGATATAAAATTAAAAAAGCAATGTCAGTTTTGAGTGGAAGGTTGTTTTGTTTCTTGATCTCTTAAAGCAAACAAAGATAACTTATATGAAAAATAAAAATAAAAAGATTCAACAGCGGTGAGCAAGGAATTTTATTAAGCATGGGGAAGAATAGGCAGCAGAGTGAAAATGTATTTTTAATGGGAAAATATCTGGATATCTGATAGGATAAACAAGAAAGGAGTTTTTTTTTTAATCTACAAATGAAGATTTAGATATTTACTAAGCTTAGTCTTGTCTGGCACTAGGCCACAACAATGAAGCATTCAGTAGGGGTCAAATTCCATATATTGGAGGAAAAGTATAGAAAGTTATACTAATTTTAGAAATAGGAAGAGGACAATCCAGTTTTAAAGAAATTTAAATGTTGCACTTACTTTTTGTAGTTATATTCATTCCAAAGGTGTTTAAAAATAAACATAGGATTTAAAAAATGGTAAACTAACTTTTTTCTAAGTTGTTTTTTTTTTTCAATTAAATATTTTTAACATTTGTAAAACTGAAATTTATAGATATTCCTTTTCAACATGAAAATATCAAATGGCAAAGGATTTGGCAATTTAGCAATGTGAAAACAATGACTGACTAAAGTCATAGCAGACAATTTTCTAATTTGTATAATTACCAAGTTGATAACCTAATAGTAGTCAAAATGTGACAGATTCACGGGGCTTTTATTCTTAGATTGTTAATTTCATATGCAAATATTCATACCATAATAAATCATACTTCAATAAAGTTAAACATCATTAATCAGAGTCATTGCTAACTCCAATAAATTTGCAATTTAAGAGAGTGTTATATCAAAACACTCTTGTTTATCAAAATCTTGTTCTTTGGATGAACTCATATATCAGAATAACAAATACAATTCAAGTAATATCAGTGAATCAATTATTAAATGCATTCATAGAGTCTGAGAATTGATTTGAAAGATTTATAAATGAAAGTCTCCATGTTAAAGCACAATAATAAAACATATGAATTAATGATAAAATTTATGACTGGAAATTTAATATAATCTTTATATATTTAGTAATTGAAACTTCCTTTTGATGCAAGACTATGACCATGGGTCTGTGTGTATGTGTATTTACACATTCAGTTGGAGAGTGGAGGTATAGCATTTGAAGACTTATAAAATATTTAATGTACTTCTAATATCTAATTTAAACAGGTGATTTATCACAATATAAAACTGACTCTTATTGAGAAAAAATATATAAATTTCCAAATTTGCAATGCAGAAAAAATGTATATCAAAAAACATTGAAACAAATATTTGGATACTAAAACAAATGTTATTGCAGAAGGAATCTTCTAGCAATTATTCAATATGTTCAATCACAGTTTTCATTCACTGCTTCACCTTTTTTCAAAGAGCCTCTGTCATAGATAAAGTGAAGGAGCTCTCAACCAAACAAAAGAATAACATAATTAAGCAGCATAATGAAGTTTGATGCATGGATGAAGTTCTCTTTTGATGGTACAAGAGCAATTCACATAGTTGAAACAACTATAAATAGAGTAAAATGTATCAGAGTATTTTGGAAGCTAATTTGTTCTCTTTGGTTCAACAGTTGAAGCTTCAAGATGGTTGGATAACAACCTGAAGCACAGAGCTAAAATAAATTGCAAACGCTTTGTTCAGAATTCTGCAAAAGTGCTTCAGTGACATTGTTGATCTCCAATTGTATCCATTTGAAAATTTATAACAAAGCTTGAAAGATCAAATCCGTCAGTGGGACCCCAGAAATGTTAATGGTTTTAAGGTTGTTTACAAGGGAAGAATGAGTTAAGATTTCAAAAGAATATCATTATGAAAAACATCTCTAAGTAGTTGCTGCAAACTAAGGTAATGTGACTAAGTATTAAAATATGAAATCAATATATCTGAGAATTTTTTTTCCATAATGTTACTTTTTATATTTATACAGCAGTACATGTTTCAGATTATGTATTTTTCTTACTAATTTTTATTTTATATCAAAACATCACCTGTGTAAATTTACAGCAAATGTATGCATCAAAGGTATATCAAATATTTTATAAGTACCCAAATATTCCTACTCTGGTACTCTGTGTGTGTGTGTGTATATATATATATATATATATATATATATATACACACCATATCTATGAATACTAATTGGTATGTCCCAATCCTCATAAATATGTTGTGGGGTATTATGTGCTGTCTAAGTAGTGTATATTGTATTTTGTTGATGTTATAAAGATTACCATTTCATTTCCAACCTTTGGAATAAATTCCAATAACCAACAAATACTATCCTTAAAAGAGTG